CAGTTATACATTATTGCGCCTAAGAACTTAGGTTAACTAAAGTTCTGCTTAGAGGACTTAGTGCCTCCTCAGACAGGATCGTATCCAATAAATCACGCCTAAGAGGTATGACCTATATCTTGCCTCAGAGATATGATGACCAGTTTTTCTTGAGGGCTCGATAAAAGTTCCGCCTGAGAAGATTAAATGCCTCTCCTTAGGGACGTAGTGTCTCATCATCTGAGTTATACGTTATTAAGCATAAGAACTTAGGTTAACTTAAGTTCTGTGTGAGGAAATTAGTGCCTCCTCGGGCAAGATTATATCCTAAGAGGCGCGACTCATATCCCTCCCCAAAGACAAGATCACCAGTCTTTCTTGAGGGCTCAATAAAAATCCTGCCTAAGAAGATAAACATATCGCTGGAGGGACTTAGTGTCTCATCAGTCCAGTTATACATTATTATGCCTAAGAACTTAGGCTAACTAAACTTCCGCCTGAGGGACTTAGTGCCTCCTCGGGCGGGATAGTATCTAAAAAATCACGCCTAAGAGGCGCGACCCATATCCCTCCTTAGAGACATGATTATCAGTCTTGCTTGAGGGCTCGATAGAAGTCTCGTCTTAGAAGTAAAATGCCTCACCTGAGGGATTCAATGTCTCATCAGCTAAGCCACACGGCACGACGCCTAAAGGATATGGAATTTCAAAGACCAATAAGCTCTTGTTCGAGGAAATATTAACAATCTACATTGCAGGAACCGCAATTAAAGATTCAGGTTTCCCAATGAGGGACAAAAAATCCAGAGAAAAAACACAGGTTCTCGGGATACTCTCACGAGCTGTAATCTAAAAACACTTCATCTTCTACCGAATGCATCATGCTTTAGGGACGATGTAGTGTTATAACTGCAAAAGGAAATGTGGCGCCTTTAGACCGCCTAAGGAGAGGCGATGGGTGAATTTTTCCCACAGGAAGGTATCATATTGTCTTGTAGTCTTTACTAACCCTTACGTGGGAAACTTGGATAAAACGCTTTTTTGGGAAGAGAGAAAGTTAAGGTAATTAATTGACCCACGACTCCCTTAGAAACAGGAGTTCAAGAATCCACTAATGGCTAAGTGGGTGGTGGCTCTTTCCAAGAAAACCCTATGTCTTAGAGAACTCTATAAATACATATCCTCTCAAGGGGATAGATAACAGATTCTAAATGATACACTCTCTCCACAACCAAAAAAGCATCACGCTTGTTACCACGAACGACCCAACCGCTTGCCTGAAATCCTCGTAGTGTCGGCCGCCAACAAGGTGTCTCACCTCACGTGAGTTAGTCCCTTAAATAGCCTCAAACACCACCGTATATGACTTCTCACCTATGTGAGCAAACTCTCACTGTTGAAACATGTTATACACCTACTAAGGCCTCTGAGTCTCCCTGTTTGTGCAGGGGTCAACAAGACACATGTATTTTTTGACAAGTACATATATAAAAATATAGAATCCATTTGCTTATAAAATGTGGTTTATGAGGTATCCAACTAATATCAGTCAAAGGAATAGCGAGTCTTCCACTACTCCCATGTTTCTGATCATGGAATGAGGAAACCCATATATTGGCTTTATAATCCAAGTCCAATGGATTTTCTATAAATACCTCAATACCATAATAGAGAAGAAACCCATATCTTGTGACAGGTTCAAAAGTCTTTGGCACTTGTCACATTTATGTATGGTTTCCATGCAATCTTTCATCATTCATCAATGTCTCCCAGTATTAACCATATGAGTACCTTAGACACCAAAATCCTAGATGAGCGTATATGCTTTTATGTATACCATGCATTACGGGCTCAACTTATTTATCCTCCAAACATAGTAAGAGTTTGTCAATGCCATATTAATAGTAATAACACATAACTTTGGTTCAAATATAAGTATATTTATGGTTTGGAATACTACGATTTTATAATGATGAGGCCTTAGATACAAGCTATCTTTGCTAGTTTATCAGCCTTTGCATTTTCACCTTTGGGGTATATGACTAAGTTAAACTTTTACGAACATCTTCCTAAATGAAAGAACTTTATTCAAGTAATTGATTAAAGTCTCTTCATTTGGATGTTAATATCTGGAAATGTGAAAAACAAAACAAAAAGTTTGTATTGTTTTGAGTTAAAAAACTTTTATGTGCTTTATTGTATGCAAACATAATTTATTAAAATTTCTCCCCACCTTCAAATTATTTTTGAAATTTTATACTTAATATACATTATAATTAGTGCATATTTTTTATATTTATTTTTATTTATGTTCGTTTTTTTTCTTTTGATTTTGTTATGCATTCTATTGTATTTTCTTTTATATCAAATTTTAAACTATTTTTTTGTCTATTAAATTTTTGTTTTATGTATTTGTTTTATTAGATGGTTCATCATGATTTAAAAATTGTTAACAACACATAGTTTAATTTGTGTCGATGAATTATAATTTGAATCAAGTGTATTAAATTTTATTAACATTACGTTATAAATTTTTAATCAATCAATATTGAAAATTATGTTTAATCATTTATTCATATTTTATTACCAACATATATTTACGAATTTTTTAACTTTGAATATCATATGAATTATATGAATGCATAAGAATAAAAATGTAAAATATTAATAAAATCTTTCCCCTCCCCTTGCGAATCAAATATATTTTCATTCTCTCTCCTTCCCTCTTTTGTAATATCAAGTGATATAGTTTTTGTAAATGAAGGTTAAAATATAAAAATAAAATGAGGACTAAAAAGGAGAGGGAGTTTAGGCCAAAACTATGAGGAAACAAATCCAAAATTAAAAAAAAAAAAAAAAAAAAAAAAAAAGGAAAAGCATAACATATTCTTTGTTGTTTACTTATTCATGTTTAATCCTAAGGGAATTTCTTTTAAAAAAAGTTAGCTTAATGTCTCTTTTAGTTTCTTAACTTTAGTCATTGTTTTGGTTTGGTCCCTTAAAAAAAAGTTACATTATGGTCCACTAACTTATACTATGTTACATATTTTAGTCATTTCCATTAGTTTTGTTGGGAAAATATTAAAATTTGCCTTGTTGGACTATAAATGGCTGAGGTGGAATTTCTGTATTTATTTTAATGGCTGAGGTGAACTTTATATTACACTTAAGCTCCATTTGAAGAAAATGAAACGTATTAGGGCATAAGAACATTGTTGGATGAAAGCTCGGCCTAAAAGAGGACGATAGCGACACTGTTGACATTGTTGACAACAACACTTCATTAAAGACGAAGTTCATTGAAGACGACGATAGCGACACTGTTGACAACAACCCTCCATTGAAGATGAACTTCATTCATCAATCATTTGCAAAAAAACCATAAGGTACGAAATTGCACAAATAAGTTACTAAAAATGTTAACTTTCTTCTTTACCCAACTTATTTTGTACTTCTGATACTTTATGTAGGTTGATTAGGTTATGGAGAGTAGGTTTAAGTGTGTTATTCATCATTCTAGTGTGTTTTCTAGGGAGTTTGCCAATTTAACCAAGTCAGGTTATGTAGGGTTAGAGGAGATATGAGATGTTGATATCCTGATTATTGGAGTTATTTGAAAATATTGGATAGGTTAAAAGAGTTAGGTTACCCTACTATAGATAGGCTTTGGTATTATGATGAAATGTTTGCTAATAATATAGTTCAATTAAAAAATGATAAGGACTGATAGGATGAGAACAATTGCAATGTTAATTGGGGAATGCCATTTGTATGTTACACATCTTGTATCTGAACCTGATGTTATTGAGGAGCCCATACTCTCACTACCAAAAGGGAACATATAGGGTGAAGATATGTTTGGTGAAGGGCCTGATATGGTTAATAATCTAGATGGGACCATAATGGCTAAAGATGTGGTTGGTAAAATGCATGAAAGGGAAAGTAATGAAGGTGGAACCACAATGGGTGAAGATATGGTGGAAGAGGGGACAACCATTGAGTAAGTTGAGGAGAATGTTGGAATTGAGGAAAATGTGGGTCATGTAGGGACCAACTGTGAAGTTGAAGAGAATGTGGGTAAAGAGGAGACAAAATGTAACAATATGGATGATGTGGGGACCACCTGTGAAGTTGAGGAGAATGTAGGTGTATGGATGAATGTTGAAGTAGAGGAAAACAATGAAGGACTGGACTGTAACCAACAACAACATGAGGTAGTTAACTATAACCAAGGAAATATGCCAGAAGATGGAAGTGATGACAATGCTTTAAATGTTAATTTTGAAGACTTAGAGAATGATATAGGTATTGATGGAGAGATAGAAATTGATGAGGATGAAGTGAATACAACAAGTAAGGAGAATGGAAAAAGTAAGACTATGTTTGGATAATTTAAAAATAACGGAGCGGGGCAGAACAGAACGGAATAGGATGGAGTGGAACGGAACGGAACGGAATATAAACTCCATTCCACTATTTGGATATTTTACAACAGAGCGGAACTAATATCTCATTCTACTGTTTGGGAATTGGACGGAGCAGAAAGCATTATAACTTTTTTATTTCATTTTTACCCTTTGCTACAATATTGATAGATCCAACATTCTCACACTAAAATAATATATAAGTAATCATAAAAACAATATCAACTTAACACTTGAAAGAAATTAAAACATACAATAATAAATTAAAATGTTCATAAATGAAACATGGTTATTATAACTTGAAATTGTAAAGACCAAGTGCACAAGTTTTGATCAACACCATACTGGGTATTCATAGTAATTCATAAACAAAATCAAGTTTTGCTAAAATTAAATGATAAATATATGTCTATAGTAGATAATGATATCAAGTCTTGCTAATAAAAAAGACAAATATTGATCCATAATAGATAATGACTCTCTTCTTTAAGCATTTCACAAAACCTGCAAAAATAAAATAAAATAAATTACGCAAATATTTCATTCGTTAAAGATAAAAAAAAATACTCAAAAGTGATAAATAAATATGTTACCATTATCAAAAGGGATAGTCTAGAACAATGACATGTAACATTTTCTTCCGCTTATCGATTGGAATTCCATTAAAAGCTTTCAATGCATCGACATTCTTAATAAGGTACATGTATACAAGAGGCAAAGAACTTGGTTCAACCCCAATCTCGACCAATTCAGCCCAAGTATCTCCAACATTAGCATTTTTACTCTGTTTGACCAGCTCCATGAAATTCATTTCAAACACATCAACCATTGTTTTGAAAGTTTTGGAAATCTCAGTCATGCTTGTATCATCTTCAATAACCTTCTTTACTCGCTTCTTAGTCCTAGATGATGATACATCTTGAGAATTGGTAATAGAAGGCCTTGTAGGAGTATTGTTGGAATGATGTTCATCATCATCAAATCCCTCCAAAATAACTTCATTGGTTTCAACTAAGTGGTTTATTTCTTCAATGATTGTGCCATGACTTTTTTCAACATTTGCAGCCTTTTTTGCTCTCATTTCAGCATTTGTACCTTCATGCTCTCCTGTTGCTCGATCTTTTCCAAAATGTTTGGCCAATTTATCATAAAATAATATTGGCTTGTTTTTCCATTCAGCAGCTTCGGGTTTTGCCTACACCAAAATAAACGAAAAAATGCATCACTTAAAAAGTTTTTAATGAGTGAACTCAAATAAAAATAATCGGGTAAGTGTATAAAACAATTATAGTAAATAATACCTCAATTAGCTTGTTCCAAACTTCATCTTCGATAATCCACATATTTGTTGTTGAATCCCATCCAAACCCACTCAAGCCATTATGGAAAAGGTCATAACAAGAATTGAACTTTGTTTTGATGTGTTTCATGTGATCTTTTATTTTTTCTTTGGAAATTGGTTTGTCCGGAAAGTGAATCTTCAAATCTTTAAGAATGCTATCCATAACGCTTGTTGTCATACTATTACCATTTTTATTTTCCAATGTTTGTTGATTGAAATATTCATCAAGCAAAACTTCATCCATAGCAGTTGTCCAATTGCATGTTTCTAGACTTTTGAGTTTCCTCGACCTCTTTAAACTTGCTTCCATGTCTATTATTAAAAAACACAATGAAGAATATAATAACTTATGCATAAATTCAAATGTAAAGGTTCATCATACACTAAAATCCATTCCACAAATTACAAATAAAAAATTCAATCCAAATAAAATTCTTTAAAACATTATTCATAAGAGTAACAAACCATTAAGAATAATTTTAATAATCTAGCCACATAGAACCAACAACATTATCTCTAATTGGCTCTCCGCTAATCATATCACCGTTTTCTTCTCTATGATCTTGATGACCCTCTTGAACATCTCTTTTGTTTGCAAGCTCATCTTGCACCTCATCAATTAGAGTTTGATTAGGGTCTTCACCCATCAAATAGTTGTGTAAAATGCAACAAGCAAGGATGCTTTTATTTTGAGTTTTAATACCAAATGTAGGCTTTGTTGCAGTTTGTAAAATTGGAAATCTTTTCTTTAACACTCCAAATGCACATTCAATAGACATTTGTAATGACGAATGTCGATGGTTGAATAACTCACGAGGGTTTCGAGGTGGATTTCTAGAGTATTCTTGTAAGTGGTATCGTTCTCCCCTATACGGTGTAATCAGACATGCTTTTAGAGGAAATCCCGCATCACCCGGATAATATTTTCCTAAAAAAAATAATGAGTCCATTAGTTTAGCTAATCTAAATACTTAAACAAATATTTTTATTACTTTTTATTACCTTGTGGAACTTTAAGAGGGTGTGCACGTGCCAACGCACTCTTAACTATTCTTGAGTCAGAAGCAGTTCCTTCCCATCCAACCAAGACATATGTAAATTTCAAGTCAAGTGAGTACGTAGCTAACACATTTTGTGTGGGATAATCTTTTCTACCACGGTATCTAGGTGCGAGTTCTATTGGAACTTTAACACGCACATGCGTGCAATCAATTGCTCCAATACAGTCCTGACATTAAATTTATATATTAAAAGTATACAAGAAAACTAATCAATATTTGTATAAGAAAAAAATTTGTTTACCTTAAAATACGAGTAAAATCTATGGCTGTTAAGTATTTGCGGAGGCACTTGTGTTCCATCAGGTTGTTTTAAAAAATTTCCCTCCACCTCTATCAAAGCATCTAGCACTCTATGAAAATGACGACTAACAGTTTCACCAGAGCGTCTAAAAAAGAATGACATCATACGGTTTCTAACATTATGTCCTACTATGTGAAGAAATTTTGCTACTTGTTATTCGATAGACGCTCTTGGTGTATGTGTAAGTCCACCTTGATCTTGTAATAAGGTGCATAAGTTTAAGAAAGCTTTGGGACCCATACAAATGATATCATAACATCGCTCACTTCCTACAATATGTTTCATCAACTCATTTCTAACTTTCTCTCTTTGCTCTGTGATTCTATAAGGTATTTGGGATCTTCTACGCTTGTTTTTTAGCGAACATATTAGAATAATAATGATAGATACTTGAAGAATCATAATTTGAACCAATTTCATATACTTGATTCTTATGTCTTCGTTAGTCATCTATAAAAAATTAAACACTAAAATTTACTCTAATTATAAATCCATATACAAATAAATCAAATTAAAATATTTATAACAAATAAAATAAATCATATCAAAATCAGAACAAATAGATTAAGAATTTTTAAAACAAATCAAATATATAATTTCAATCCCAAATTAATTAAGAATCTTTATAGCAAATCAAAACTTATGTTACTAATAATTATTTTCCTATTATACTACATAATATTATTAGCCAATTTTATGTTATAGTAACTAATTTTAGTTTTTCTCTATACATAATAAGAATACAATCAACGTGAATAGTAGTGAAAAGCAACATGAACAGTAGTTTTGCAACAAATCTAATTTCTACTTTTGTTCTTAATAAAAAGTTAATTTAACATACAAAACACTATAAAGCAACATAAATCATAATTTTAGGTTTTGTTTTTAGTAACTATACCTAATTTTTGAAAAATTAAAAAGACATGAACATGAAGATAAATCAAGATATTTAATTTAATAGAGCACACATATAAATACAGGTAAAAAAAAGAAGAAGAAATATGATGTACCTTGTTAGGGTAGAAGAAAGATAGACTCTTTGCAAGCAAGAAGAAGGCTTGTGAAGGAGAAAAGTTGCAGTGAGAATTGAAAAAGTAAGCTTTAAAGTCGACTTGATGGTGATGACGAAACGGGGACGAGGGCGGCCGAAATCTACGGTGCCACCGTCACTAGAGACTCTTACTAGCTTGAAGACTCCTGAGATTGAATCAAGAACTACCAGCGTAGTAGATAAATATATGACAATCACACTCGAGAATGAAAATAAGGAAACCCTAACAGAAACGATACAAACACAACCGGAGGAGCGTAAACTATGGGTTGATGTTATTAATGACAACCAGAACCATGCAAAGGGACTGGCCATGGAATACGTTGCGCCAAAGGTCGTCAATGGAGTGATTGAAATCGATATTGAACAAGAAGATATCGAAACGGAAATACAATTTTGGGATAATGCTCTAATCCTTTATGTTGTGGGGGACGATTTGAGTATGAACACGGTGAAGAACTTTATGCAGAGAATGTGGAATTTCGTGAAAATGCCAGATCTTTATTACCACGATGGCGAATATTTTCTGCTCAGATTTAACTCCCAGGAAGATAAGGAAGCAGACATGATGAAAGGCCCATACACGATTTGAAGTATGCCCATGATATTGAAGGAATGGAAATCTGGTTTCAACTTAAAGAAGGATCTGCTAAGAACATTACCAATACGGGTCAAACTCCCCCAACTTCCCCTACATCTATGGGGGGTAAAAAGTCTTAGCAAGATCGGAAGTGCCATTGGCAAACCGTTGGTGACTGATGAGTGCACGGTGAACAAGTTTCGTGTATCATATACAAGACTACTGATTGAAGTGGACATTACACAACCATTGATTGATGAAATAGCCATTAGAAATGTTGAAGGATATATAATAATGCAGCCTGTGAAATATGAATGGAGGCCAAAATTCTGTGAAACATGTCAAAAAATGGGGCATAAATGTGAAGACCGAGGGAAGACCCAACAATGGAAACCAAAACCCAAGCCACCAGAAACATCCAAGAACATAACGCCCATAAAACAACCAGAAAGAGAGGAGACAACAGGGGAAGGAAGTGAATCTTGGACAAGAGCGAGGAAATCTGTACGAGATAAAGGTAAAAGCATATTGATTGATACAAATAACAACATATACTGTAACAATGGTTTTGAAGCACTTGAGGTTTTGAATGAACATCAAGTGACCACAAACCTTGAACCATGTTAGTCTCATGGAACATAAGGGGACTCAATAAAGTAGGCAAAATTCGCGAGATTCGGTCCCGTCTCCAAGAGCTAAAGCCTGCTATTATCATTTTGATTGAAACTAGAGTTAAAGAATCTAAAGCCAAGGCCATTCGAGAAAAGCTGATGATGTATGATAATCACATGGACAATTACAAAGACCATACAAATGGTAGAATCTGGATTCACTGGGATAGTAACAGGGTAGATGTGAGGTTCATACAAAGTAGCAGCCAATATATCCATTGTGGTATCTATGATAACCTTGGAGTTTTCAAGCACTGGTTAACTGTTGTATATGCTCATAACCAACTAAACAAAAGGAAAATCCTGTGGAAAGAAATAGAATACATGTCTGGTAACATCCAAGGACCTTGGTGTGTCATTGGAGACTACAATAATGTAACCAAAGCCCAGGACAGAATGGGAGGGAATCTAGTGACTGAAAAGGAATATGAAGACCTGAAAAAAATGATGGAGAATACAGGTTTAAGTGAAATGAATAGCATTGGTGATCATTTCACATGGTCCAATAAACAAGCAACTGGACCCATATACTCAAGGATTGACAAAGTTTTAGGCAACACTTATTGGTCCCTCACCAATATGGAGACTATTCTAAAAATCCTTCCACCTAATATTTGTGATCATGCCATGCTATATTTGGATTATAAACAAGAACAGAGGAAAACCTCCAAACAGTTTAAGTTTAGCAACTGCCTTACTGAACTACCAGGTTATGACAGTTTGATCAAGAAGAATTGGGATGGCCATATTAGGGGAAGTCCAATGTATGTCTTTTGGCACAAACTCAAGAAATTGAAGCATGAGTTAAAAAACTTCAGCAAACCTCTGTCTGATGTTAAAAATAAATTGATATCAGCTAGAACCAACCTCAAAAAAACACAAGAAAAGCTTAGGAATGACATAATGAATAACACCTTGATTGGGAAGGCAAAAGATCTGACTGAGGAAGTGATATCCCTGAACGAACTAGAATGGAAGATACTACATTAAAGGTCAAAGATTGAATGGATTAGAAAAGGAGATGGAAACAATTAGTATTTCTATGCTGCTATCAAAGGAAGACATCACTCCAACTGCCTTAACAATCTGAAGAAGAGTGATGGCAGGCAGATAACAACTAAAAAAGACATTGAAGATGAAGTGATTAATTTCTACAGAAACCTGATGGGCAAAGATGTTAAGAGCATTAGCCATATTGATATTGAGGCCATAAGGATGGGAAAGCAACTTAACATGGATCAAAGGGAATACCTCACCAGACCCATATCAAAAGATGACATCACCAAAGCCCTTAGAGGAATTGCAGACCTCAAAGCACCAGGGCTGGATGGTTATGAAGCCAAAATTTTCAAGGCCAGCTGGACAACTATAAAAAATGATGTGATAACAGCTGTTAAGGAGTACTTTGAAACAGGTAAAATATACAAAGCCTTCAACAGTGTTGTAGTATCCCTGATTCCAAAAGGCCATAATGCTTGTGAAATCAAAGACTACAGACCTATAGCTGTTCGCACCACTTTTTATAAGATTATTTCCAAGATTCTGACAGACAAACTAGGATCTGTCATTACTAGTATGGTAAATCACAATCATGCAGCTTTTGTACCAGGCCAGAACATACATAATCACATCATGCTTGCTACTGAGCTTCTTAAGGGATACACCAGGAAAGGGGGCACACCTAGAATTATGATGCAAATTGATCTACAAAAAGCATATGATATGGTTAATTAGAGGGCTTTGGAGTGCATCATGAAGGAAATGGGTTTCCCTAACAAATTCATCCAATGGACCATGCTAGGCATCACCACTGTTTCCTACAGATTTAACATCATGGGGGAATACACTGATATCTTGCAGGACAAAAGGGGGATTCGACAGGGTGATCCTTTATCTCCTATGCTCTTTGTCCTCATAATGGAATATATGAACAGACTGTTGGTGAAAATGCAAAGAGATCCTAATTTCAACTACCATGCCAAATGTGAGGAGCTAAAAATTACCAACCTCACTTTTGCAGATGATGTGTTGTTACTTTGTAGAGGAGATGAAATATCAATGCAAATGATTTTAAAGGCTTTTATGGATTTCTCCAATTCCACAGGTTTGCTAATGAGCTCTAACAAATGCAAGATCTATTTTGGAGGTTTGGACAATGAGAGTAAAAGGACCTTGAAAGAGCTGTCGGGTTTCCAAGAGGGAACGCTGCCATTAAAATACCTAAGAATCCCACTGTCTAGCAAGAAATTAACCCTCAACCATTTTATGCCCTTGGTGGATAAAATAGTGGCTAGAATTCATCATTGGTCATCTAGACTCTTAAGCTATGCAGGAAGAATACAGCTAGTGAAAAGTATATCTTCTGCAATGGTGCAGTACTGGATGCAATGCCTCCCCATGCCCAAATCTGTGATCAGAAAAGTAGAATCCATCGGTCGAAGTTTCAACTGGACCGGTAAGGATGCTGTGAGCAGAAAGTGCCCCGTGGCATGGAAACACACTTGCTGCCCTACTGCACAAGGTGGGATGAATCTGCTGAATCTTCAGGTATGGAACAATGTACTACTCCTGAAATGTTTATGGAATCTTTGCAACAAAACTGACACTTTATGGGTTAAATAGGTCCATATTCATTACCTAAAAGGCACAAATGTGATGAATTATGTAACCAAAACTCACAATTCTTGGATCATGCGTGGTATTTTGAAACAAAGAGATACCATGGAATTAATACAGAATGAATGGAACCAAGTTATGAACACTAAAAAGTTTAAAGCGTCAGTATTTTAGAAGGTGCTGATTGATGATGGCACAAGGGTGCTTTGGCGAAAATTGATAAGATCCAACAAGAGTCGGCCGCGAGCAGTGCTTTGCTTATGGCAAGCTTGTCATGGGAAACTTGCAACCAAGGATAGGTTAAAATGATTTGGAATGATTGAGGACAACCTTTGCAGTGTATGTCAATCCAAGGAAGAAACGATGAATCATCTGTTCTTCTGCTGTCAAGGAACAAGACACATATGGAAGGAAGTGCTCAAATGGTTTAAGATATATCATGAACCTCAACCATGGGATGCAGAGCTGGTGTGGATCACTAGTATAACGAAAGGAAAAGGATGGAAAGTTGATGTTTTGAAGATGTTAGTAGCTGAAACCATCTACAGCATCTGGGGATATAGAAATAGTATTACTTTTGGAAACATTATAGATAATACAGCAAGGGATATTAAAATCATAGATAATGTGATCTATAGAGGGTGACAAAACCTTAGAATTAGAAAGCATCTTGTTAGTTTTATGATGTAAGTTGAGTCTTTTTGGGTGGTTGGATCCTCCTTGGGTCACCTAGTTTTGTATTGACTATTTTTTGAACTAATATATTCTTTCTTGATTAAAACAAAAAAGTGAAAATTTGGAGGATAAAATTGTAATTGTTTTATTAATTGATTTCATTCAATTGGATACACCCCAATTTGGGGGGGGGATGAAAAATGGGCCAAAATAGTGGGATTGGATGGAATGTGTTCCATCATACTCCTTTCCATTTCATTCAATTTTTGTAAATCCAAACAATGGAACATAACTCCACTCAACTCCACTCCATTCCATTTCATCCCTTTCCATCAATCCAAACATACCCTAAGGTAAAAGGCATGGGGAAAATTAAGGGAAAAGGTAAAGAGAAAGGAAAGGGGAAAAGAAAGAGTAATGAAAAAGTTAAGGGAAAGAGTAATAAATCCAGCTTTGAAGTTGACTGGTAGTATGAAGAAGACACATGAATAGTGGAATGTTAGGATTAAAAAGACATTGGCATATAGAGAAAAGACACTAGTTGTTGATATTGTGGATGGTTCTTTTAAAGAGCAGTATAGAAGAATCCATGATTATGGCCATGAACTCTTGAGGGAAAACTCAAGATCAATTGTTAAGATTACAAGTCAACGAGTTCAAGGGGAAAGCAGGGAAAACCCTAGTCAATTGAATTATCACTTTCAGAGGATGTATGCATGTCTCAAAGCTTACAAGGATAATTTTTTTAAGTGCAGACCTATTATAGAATTAAATGGTTGTTTCTTAAAGAGATACTATGGTGGACAAATACTAGCTGCTATTGGGAGGGACCCAAATGATAAAATGCTACCAATTGCATATGTTGTTGTTGAGGGTGAAACTAAAGACTCATAGGTTGGTTTCTAGAATTATTGATACCTGATTTGGGAGGAGTCAGGTTGTACAAAACCTATACCTTCATTAGTGATCAACAAAAGGTTAACTCTCACCTTGAATTTTAATTATTAGCCAATTATTTTAATTTCACCATCAATCTTACTTAATTATGAATGCAGGATTTGCTGCTTGCTCTTGATGAATTACTTGGTAATGTTGACTAGAGATTACGTGTTAGGTATTATGTTTACTTAAATATTACATATGACATACTTGGTTCTTCTGAATTACTTGTATGACCTACTTGGTTTACACTTACTTTATACTGCAGATATTTATACAACAACTTCGAGAAGAAGTTCCCTGGCTTGAAATCGAAGGAATTTATGTGGGGGGTTGCATGTGCAAGTTATGTAAATGCTTAGGAGAAAATAATGCTTGAAATCAAGGGAGTTAGCGAAGAGGCCTTCAAACATCTCATCAAAATTCCACCAAGATTCTGGAGAAAATCAATGTTCCATCCAAGTTCAGGTTGTGACACTTTGGTTAACAATATGTCAAAGGCATTCAATTCTGTGTTTGTAGCTGCTAAATCCAAGCCCGTTGTGACAATGCTTGAAGAAATTAGAATTTATCTAATGCAGAGATGGGAATCCAATAGGCAAAAGATTGCCAAATACGAGAGCATCATAATACCTATCATCAAGAAAAGGATGGAAAGGGAGCCACAAAAAACCAATCATTGGATTGTGAGGTAACATGGTTGTTTTGTTGAATATTAGTTTCAAATGGCTAATTATTTACATAAACTAACATTAAAATGGGTACTTGTTTATAGGCAAGCAGGTGAGTATGACTATGAGGTAAGGCATGTTTCACTCAATGGAGAAAAATGTGTTGTCAACCTTTAAAGAATGCTCACGTAGAATATGGATGTTGACTGGACTTCCTTGTTGTCATGCAATGTCTTGCATGAAGGATCAACATTTAGAGATTGATGACTTTGTACCTGAATGTTACAAGAAGGAACAATATTCAGCTTGTTATGCACCTGTTATATATCCACTTAATGGGGAAGCCTTGTGGGCAAAGACTAGTGATGTTGATCTTCAACCACCATCAATAAAGAGGCAACCTGGAAGGCCAAAGAAAAAAAAGAATAGCAGAAGCTGGAGAAATGGTAAGGGATGAGACACACATGAAGTATCTTTTTTTTTAAGGATGAATATTAGCTAATTGAGATCTGGTTGGGAGAATTATGCTCCTTGGTGCACTGGAGTGATACCAAGCTAACTCTAAGAATTCTCCATTTCATAAGTGGAAAGATTGGTTGCTAGACCCGGATAGATGCCTCTTGTGCAAGTTTTTATTCTAGAAGTTGTTATTTCATGTATCTTTGATTCTCTCTTGTATTAAGGGTTGAGTAGTCCTTGTATTTCTCATTAAATCAAATATTTGCCTACAAAAAATACTCTATTTATTTTAAAATGAATGTGGTTTTAACAAATAAAATTTGTTATAAAATGAATGTCATTTTTTCTGTTTAATGTAGAAATTATTACTAGTTTTCAATTGTGTCCTTTAACTATTATTTTTTATACTACTTTTAACATATTTATAATATTAATTTAGTAAAAATAAAATGTCATATTACAATATCATTATATTTCTTAATTTATATAAAACACTTAAACCTTCAATCCAACCAGGAAAGGGATCCTTGATAGTACTGGTTACCATTGTAGGGCGTATAATGATCAATGTAACATTATCTTTATGATGCATTAAAAGCATCTCTCCAATTGCTTTTGTGAATACAAATGTGTTTGGCCAACCATGCAAATTTGCTCTATTTTTTCATTTTACATAATTTAAATCAGATCACAAAATATTAGATGTATAATCTGATAAGTTATAACCACTCATGATAAAAGAATAAAAAAAGCAACAGAAAAAAAATTTTGACTAACCTTTCCATTCCATAATCTTTCAATGCAAATTTCATTGTATTTTCATCAGTATTCATTGCTTGGAGTTCAGCTATTTTGTTGTCCAACAAATTCATTTATGTGTGTATGTCTAACTTTGAGGGCCCTTTTAGAGATTGACCCATCTCAAATGCTTTCTCTCTTACTATTCCATCTTCATACTTAGCATCTCCACACACATATGCTACAAGTTACAAGGTTTATGTTATTAATTACTAGTAATTAATTCACATAAATTAAAGACAAAAAATGAAACAGATCTATAATTTTAATCATACAGAATTTTACGAGTGGACATGTGGACAAAAGCTTGTAGTTTTTGACAATTCTTTGCAATGTTCAATGCATGTAAAGCTCCTTTTGTGTTAACACCCATTGAAATATCAAATCTATAGAGAAATCAAGAATATTATATTTTAATGAATAAATTATTTTACTAATTATTTGAACGAAAATTAGGTTTCACCTTTCATCAAATATTTCATTTTTAAGCTTTTCATCTTTTATTCCAAAATTTTCAATCGCAACATCTCCGGCAACTGCTACAACCTTCTTTGAATTTTTTATTTATTATAACCATATATTGTATAACAATTACCAAATAAATTGATGTTTTCAAGAATTTACCAAACTGGCTAGCAATCAACGTTGTGTCGCCAATGTGAATGACGACTCATTACAATGTGAATGGCGACTGGGTTGTTTTTTAAAGGATTCACCAAGCCCAATGGCAACACTGTTGTACATTAGGGCTTGTTTATTGAAGGATTCGCCAAGCCCAATAGCGACATTGTTGGAGCTTTCTATTTTTTTAAAAACATAATTACTAATAATAGTTAAAATAAAATTAAATGTTAAAATAAAGTTTTTAATTGATAAACATAATTATGATTAATATTTTAAATTTTTTCATAATTATATTAAAATGTTGTTTTTAATTAATAAACTTAAAATAATCAAGTTTAAATAAAAATAATCTTAAATTAATTTTATAAATTTAGTTTTAATTAAAAATAAACTTAAATTGATTTTATAAATTTAAGTTTAATAAATATTATTTTTATACATTTAGGTTTAATATAAATATAATTTTGATTATAAATTATTGTTTTTAAGTAATAATTATAAATTATAAATTATAAAACATAAAAATTGATTACCATTGAATTTTAAAGCGTTTAAAGTTTGTAAGGATATTTAAGACATATCATATGGGGCTTGTACTGTTTTATTTTTCTATAAATACGACTGCAAACACATATATGTTTCCAAAACATTTTATACCAAAAGACTGAAGTGTTAGTGCATTTTGAGTGGAGTGGAATCTAGAATGTCTGCATTTCTAAATCAACGTTCTTCGTCGTCGTCCTCAGCATCGAAGGAACCTTTTCCAACATTCGATCTAATGAAAAGAAATGTCCTAGTTGTCTTTTCAGCAACAAAACCTCCGATGAAAGTGCTCCTGTTGAATACGCAGACGTTGGAGCACTTGAATAGAGAACTGAACCGCTGGCTAGAAGGAGATATTGCTCCAGGAGAAAAGATTAGGAAAATTGAGAGGTTGGTCGAGGAGACTGGGAGAAACGGAGTTACTCGTGAATGGAGAAAAGTGGAAAATGATGCCGATGTCCTTGTGATAATGTTAACACCAAAGAAGTTAAAGTTGATGATCGTGATATCGTAGACGCCTTGGTGCAGTGTTTTGTTTTATGTGTTTATGTTGTTGTTATTTTCGGAGTGTTGTTGTCATATTAAGTTATGTTTGTTTAATTGATGTTGCTTGCTAATTGTAATCAGTTAAGTATGTTTTTAATCGAATGAAAATTGATATTCATTTAAAGGGGCACAGTTACATATGAAACTATGACCTGTTGCTTGATCCTACATTAGAATATTTTGTACGATTGTGTCCTGGTTGCCGACATGAACTACATAATCTTACCAGCTTGTCTACGGTATCCATCTCCGTTCGAATGCGCGTACTATTAGGCCGACCCTTTTTCTTTCTACAGCGGCCAGTGAAGGAACATTTGTTCCAGAAGCACGATATGACATATTAGTATAAGCTATCAGAACAAATGAGCATGATGGGCGTGTTCGTGGTGTTGGAGAAGGTGTCGGCTTGAGGTCATTCTTTTGGTCTCAAAGAAAAAGTACCGTAAGCCCGAAATTTAAAGCACAAAGACAAAAGATTGAGAATGTTGAGAAGCAATTAGAATAAAAAAGGAGGATGTTAGAAATGGAGAGGGAAAAAAGAGAGAAAGATATGAAAAGGTTTCAAGAGTTATATTTGACGTGTGCTTTACTTGAGATGTTAGTGTTTTATCAGAAATGTATGATATATATATATATATATATATATATATATATATATATATATATATATATATATATATATATATATATATATATATATATATATATATATATATATATATATATATATATATATATATATATATATATATATATATATATATATATATATATATATATATATATATTGTGCTTATTTTTGTTGTATGTTCTAATTGGATATTATGATGTAAATATTAAGTGAAAACCTTGAACAACGTGCAAATGAAGATCAATGTTATGTTGATGGTGATGATGATGATGATCAAACTCCAAGTAGAAGTGTTGTGCTTTGTGCTTCTACAAAAGAAAGTAATTTTTCAGTGCCCCCCCCCCATCCAGATAACCGCAATGAGATAATGGACCCTAACGCAAATAAAATCGCCACACTATACTTGAACGTTGAGGTGATAAATGATACGCAACCTCTCTCGCTAGAACATTGTCCATGTTTGGAGTTATTCTATTACAGTCCTGATGATGTAAGGGATTTTCTCGGTGGATATGAGTGGCTGGGCATAGGGATATTGTAAGTTTGGTGCGCATAAGTATATAGTTGAATATATATGTCATTATAGAACATTATCATTTTTAGTTTTTCCTCCATTAATTTATTCATTTTCTTTAACCATTTAGATACATTCACCGTGTTTGTACAGAGTTTAAAAAATTGAGTATTTATGGAATCTCATATCCACTTTTTATTCGATGGGCGTTTAATCAACCAAAAGACATTCGAGAGTACTTGAAAAAATGATTAAATGAGGGAGGAAAAGAATGTTACTTAGCACCATTTCTCTGTTCGTAAGTATCTTTGTAATTGATGTTATGTATTCTATATTTAGTTTTGTTTTAGCAAATACTAATAATAATATATGTTCGTGTTTATTCAGTGGTTATTAGAAATAGATCATCGTATCATTTAAGACGAATAAGGTAACTGTATTATGTTCCTTGAATGGTCCACTAAAAAACAGATTATTAATTCGTAAGTGTATGTTTAATCCATTTTCTTTGACATTGTAATTAATTTATCATGTAATGTGTTTAATTCATTTTCAATATACAGTTGTGGAACAAGTGAATATAATGAACAATGTTAGAAGAAAGCCCTCATGAATCTTTCCTAAAGTAAGTGGCCCGATTACCTGTTTCTTTCATTTACATTCATGTGTGGTTATATTCATATAATTATTGCTTAAATTTGTAGATGAGGAGACAACCCGGGACTTACGAGTGTGAGTATCATGTCATGAAACACATGTTAAACATTTTCCTTGTCGGTAATGTTGATTCATGGGATAAGGTATATATGTCATAAAAGGTTTATATATATTAATATATAAGTTGACTATTGAGGACTTTGTAGATCTTCGTAACGTTGGACGTAAATCCACAATGTGCTTAAGGGTCATGTTGATTGATTTATTAAGATGTGCTAATGACTTATATTCTGTATTTATGATGTGAATATTACTTTTGACTTAAACATATTGTGTTTGATGTAAATATTAATTTTGGCTTTTGATACACAATGTTAGTTATTTTTTGTGCTCTTTATGCATGGTTAACAAAAATACAGGTTGTTGTAAATTCTCGAATATGGTTATAATAGTTACAGGATAAAAATGAGAAAATTTTGAAAAGCAGAAAATTGCATATTTAAAACAGAGAAAGTTGTGACGGCGGCTATAAAACCTAACCGTGGTTGTGTATTGAATACTGACCAGAATAATATAAATTACAAAATGTTGATGCTGAGATTCGAACCTGAGACCTTTAGTTATATCACAACGGTTAGGTTAACTAACCGTTGTGATATGGCGCGCATTTCTAGAATACAACAACAGTCTCAAGATCGTGATTTTTAGTACGACATATACAACCACACGCTACACAACAACGCCTGGTCCCTCGTGGTTATATATCTTTCCCAATCATTGTTAAATGCCTTTTACGTAGTAGTTATAGTTCGATAAAAATCTCCTCCCTCTTGCTAGCAGCCAATAAAATCTTCCCCGCTTCGCTTTTGGTCACGCATCCAAAGGCAATTGTGTTATCCTAGAAGCAGCCCGTATCCAGCCGACGCATACAAAATTCACAGGAAAGTGCATTGAGGTATCCAACACCACAACCTTCTTCTTGACTCGCAAACAGGATTCTCGACATTGAATTCAACCATAAAATCTAACACACTAGATGCCACCAACCTCAAATCAAAGGGCTCTTTATTGAACACCCATTAATTCCTACCATTATAAATTCTCATAAAGCCACACACACACACACAAGATGCAAACTGACAAGATCATTAAGGCAAATGATAGTTCCAAGCCAATCTCTAAAACCAAGTCATTGGGCACATGAATGCCCAAAGGCAGAGAGAACTACACCAACTTGGATATGGGACAACACATAAACAAATTATGTGTGTAATGCCCCAGCCTACTTTCGGGACTAAATTTTATGATGTTACAATGTGCCATTTCCAAAGAGGAGTAACAGAGGGGGCAAAAGAATAAAATTGGACCCTTTCTTTTCCAGATTTTGATAGGTGGCAAGAATGTTCTACGCAAACCGCCACAAGAAATTTTTTACTCTAATATGAATAAGCACCTTCCATAGTTTCTTCTACAAGTTCTTGTTTGTAGGGCGTGAGGGACCAACTATGGTTGAGTCTCTT